ATGAAACAAGATTGGATCCGTTTTGAATGCCAAGTTTCTATTTGGTGACAAACACTGTTACAGGTATTAGCACAGGGCCTGCACAGCATGGGATGTTAACCTGATCAAAACTCTTTCCCTTGAGTTTGGGCACTTGAGACTGTTTCTGGTGTTGGTCCTGGCACCTTGCAGCAGCATTCCCAGAAGACTAGAGGCTAACAATAATTTTGTAGCTTTTTCAGCTGTATTATTTTAAGATTGGGTGGGTGGCTTCTTGCTCTCATGTAAACAGAAATTCTTATCTCCAGGTTTTCCTGATACTTTCCCCTATGATAGCTCATGCTTCTCCAGCCTGAACAGTCCTAGGTTTTGGGTCCTAGGCTCAATGCTTGAACTGGAGAACTGGAGAAAAGCATTAGGGTTTCTGCTGCCCTCAAGGCAGCCTGGCAGCCCCTTTCCCTCTGACCAGGTTCCTAGTGGACACAAGAAAGATTGCAAGAGAGCTCTCTGCCAGTGCCTGCTATCTCTGTGGAGAACAGATTCCCAGGAGCTGGGCATAGCTGCTGACTGGTGCATTTGTAGTGCAGGTGAGTTTGGTGGGGAGGTTGTGTTTCCTACACAAGATGAGGCTGAGACCCAAGACAAGCACTGGGCAGGCTAGAAGCCTGCTAGAAGCCCTTTTGCCCAGTGGTCTGGTGACCCAGCCTACCTGCTTCACAGCACTCCTCAAAACTGGGGGATATCCCAGGAGTAAAAGCCAACCTAGTTCTCCAGAGGTGTGTTATATGTGATTGCTTTGCCAATAGCACTTCTCACCCTGCACGCTCACATGTGCAGGGACATGTCCCACCAGCCACACAAGTTACCCTAGGACAGGCTCAGTTCTGCTTTGGCTTCTTAGCAAGCAGCAGCAAAAGAGCGAGGCCATAGGAGAGGGAAAGGATGCTGTTGCGAGAAGTCCAGAGCAGGGGAAAATGGGGCTTGAAACTCCTGCCAAGGTGTTTATGCTGGGGCTTAGTCTGGGTCCTGCACCTCCACTGTCCTGTAGTCTGCCTCCTGGCCTCTTATGGGCCTGAGTGATCACTAGGGCCACTGTGGCTGCAAGTAGCAATATGGGCAGGATTGGGGCAGATGTTGCTGGCCCTGTCTGGCCCCCATCCTAGTCACAACAGAGACTGTCCCCACTTCCTGCCCTGCTCCCCTTGCCTATGTGTTCATTCTGGTACACCCCTAAGCCCATCTTTCACAACCCAGTGTCTGGTTTGGCTGTTTTGTCCTTAATGATCTTGATCTGCCCCCCCCCCCAGAGAGGGGGAACTGGGGCCAACTCACATCTAAACTGTACAAATGTCCCTATCTGAGTCAGCAGGGACTTGCTACCATGTGTCCCTCTGCACCTCTGGCCAGGAGAGCCCCCAGGAAGCACCACAGACATGAATTGCCCTTGGTGTAGCAGCAGGAGTGACGACCATGTGTCAGACAGTCAGAGAGAGGTGTCCTGAAGCACAGAGGTGGTGGAAGAGAGCAGCAAAAGGGAAGGCCACCAGTCGGTATGGGGCTGCAGGGAGAAAGACAAGCAGGTCTGTGGTGCACATCGAGCACCTTCCTCAACTGCCTCCAATGCCCAGAGAAAGGACTGAGCCAAGGGCTGCTCTGGCTCCTCCTTATATGTGGCAGGACCTCAGAAAAAACATAGCTGAACCAAGGAAACAGGTATCTGCGGGAAGAAGGATATGTTTTTTGTATCTGTCAGTGTTGACTCCTTTAAGAACCTCTGTCCCAAGGTTTGTGTGTAGGTGGAAAAAGCTGGGTTGGTTATTTGCTCTGTCAGCCACCTGGGCCATTATCACATACTTTGAAGACATCAAGAGCAAGATAAGATCCCCTTTGAGCTGCCACATATGGCATGTTGGGATGCAACTCTGAGCAAAATTCCCACGTACTCCTGGAGGCTTGGTCCTTCCTCTTTGCTTCCTCTCCATTCATACCTTCACAGAAAGCAGTAGCTTTTTTCCAGCTCTGGCCTCATGTGTTATAGGGTAGTGGTGGGAACATGCCAGCATTTAAACCCCCGGTCACAGGAAAGTGAGGATGGGTTCTGCCACTTCTCAGTGACAGGGGAAGGTGAGCCCATCAGCCCCACCATTCAAACCAAGCTCCAGAGCCTTTTTATTTGAGATAAAGGAATAGCTCTAGTCTCTCCAACCCATCATTCTTCAAGTAAATAAATAATTTTTAAAAAAAGACCCATAGAAATACTTATGGTGGTAGAAATTAGTCATTGTGGTTAAATTGTTCAAATTGCACGTTCATTCAAAAATGTGCCATATGAGAAAGTAAAAGGTCCTCTTTTGAGCCAGACTTGGAAAGTGATTTCAGTAGTCATCTCTAGGGTGATATGAAGCACATTCTTGTTGCTCCCATAATACCACCAGCAGTATTTCATGCTAAACAGACCAAAAATCTCACGAAAATCAGTCTACATGATTTGGATCTTCTCAGTGAGATACAGCTATGAAAAAACAGACAAATTCAAATGGAAAAAGAATGGATTTTTTAAAATCTCAGTTGATACCTGTTTTATTTTAAGCAGAAAAACAGTGTGAATACAAAGAGGAATACCTGGTATTTCCTTCTGGAACTAAAAACATTGGAGGGGGAGAAAACGTAAAGTTTTCTCCTTCCTTTGATGACTGCTTCAAAAGATTTAGTGTTTTTCATTTAAAAGAGCAAAATTAATGCTTAAAGTTAGAGAAGTAACCGCTTATTAAAGAGATTTTGATTTTAAAGGTATATCAAGTCTGACTTATACGAGTGCTTCCACTCTTAACTGAGCTTTTCAAGCTGTCATGATGTTGGAAAGCTTGCCACATAGTTGGATGAATTATTTCGTTATAAGAAGGTAGAACATCAAAACTCCATGGAAAAAATTATTAGAGCAAATCCTGCATAGAAACCAGTTTTATTTTGCTGTATTTGTGCAGGGTATATTTTAAGAGCAGGTGATAACACTGGAGAGAAGCTTTTTCCATGTCAATTTTGGCATGCATGGCATGCAGCAACAGCCTGGTTTCACTCTGCCAAATCCATGGAGTCTGGTATTGACTTTGCTGAGTAAATATTTTTTAAGGCCTTTGCAGTGCCTGCTTAAGCAATTCCCTGCTATGGTTCTGCAGAAATGCCCTTGCTTTTCAAGAAGCAGAAACAAATTTCCACAGTAGCACTGCAAATATTAACACACTGCTCATGCCTCTCACTTTATACCATCAAATGCTGGACACTGGAAGCATATGAGCCATAGTGAAGCAAAGCATGCTTTGTGTCAGCATTATTTGCTTGATTTCCACGTGCTAAACAAGCAACAGCCAGTTCCTGGCAAAGGAATTAATTGTTTGACAATACAGCGGGTGAGACGAGCAGGCTGACCACTGTCACAGCAAACTCTGGGCATAAAATTTGAGCAGATACCACTCAGATACAAGCTTTGGGCTACTACTCTGGTGGCATATAGCGCTGTTCTGGAAACATTTCTGGTTGCGCCTTTGCCTTTTCTTCAGGTCAAAAGCACATAAATGGGAAGGGAGGCTATTAAATCAGGTTGAGGAGGTCTGAACTGAGCTCCTGTCCCTGACTTTTTCTGTGACCTTAGGAAAGCCGCTTAACTCTCACTCACAAAGCAGAAATGATAGTTTGTGTCTCCCTGTGGTGTTACAAGGCAGAATCAACCACAAACCTCGTAACTTTTACATTTGGCTGTGATATGCAGGACATGAAAGTACCTAAATGAGAAAGGAATTAAGTAATAAATGCAATGATTTATTAAAACACAGGGTGGAGAAGTGAGTGCTGGAAGTTGCTAGGCCAGGAATGCCCCAAATGCCCTTGAAATACCCCAATTCCTCTCCAGTGCACAGGAAGTAGTGCTCTTCTCACTGGGGCAGGCAGCATTGAGAGTTGGAGCTCGCCAGTCCATGGAGGGCCCTCAAAGTGCCTTTCTGCTGAATTCCAGAAAAAGAGCAGCTGAGTTACTCAAGGCACATGAGCAAGAGCTATCTTGGAGAGGGAGCAATGAAAAAGGATCAGGAAGTCCATTCGCTGCACTTCTTTTCCTCCTCAGCTACAATTTCTGGGTGCATCTGAGAGCAGAGACTGTTCAGCCTGGAGAAGAGAAGGCTCAGGCAGGGGGAGATTATAGGTGTACTGGTAAGTACTGACGGGGAGGAATGAAGGACAAAAGGTGATGAACACAAGCTGAAATGCATGAAATCCCATCCAAACCCAAGAAAATACTTGTGTATGTGTGTACATGTAGTGTGTGCGTATTGTGTGTATGTGCTTGTGTATGTGTGCTAGATGTAGGAGCAGAGGTGTGAGTGTTGTATGTTTTGTGTTGCGAGTGTGGTTGTACGTTGTGTGCACAGTGCATGTTTCACGTGTATTGTGTGTGTTCAGTGTGTGGGGTGATAATCCAGAGCTGTGTATGGCCCCAGCTAGGACTCAGTCCCATAGGGGTGCCAAGGGGGCCCAGAAGCAGCTTCAGCCACAGACGGGGTCAGAGGCACGTGGGAGAGGGGATTGTGGGGCACCTGATGGTTTATGGGACAGATATGGGGGAAGTTGGGGGTACCCAGGGGGTTATGAGGCACATGGGAGGTTGTGGGACCCTGTGGGAGGTATGGGGCATCCAGAAAAGCAATGTGACACCTGAAGGGTGAGGATACTGAGGGAGAGAGCTGGGTGCACATCCAAGAGATCAGGGGGACCCTGGGCTGGGGGAGTGGGGATGGTTATGGGGCACCCATAGGAGTTGTGGAGTGACTAAGAAAGGAAGAGAGGGCACAGGAAAGGTCAGACACCCTACGGGTCCATGGGACATCCACGATGCTGGGAAAAGGGGTTTATAAGGCACATGGGTGGCTAGATCCACCTTGGACAGGGTTGAGGGCACCCAAGGGGCTTAGGGGCCACCAGAGAGGGGTAAGATCACAGGATTCCCCCAGAAGCTGATGCTGGAGCCCAGGCCTGTGACACCTCCTTTATTTCAGGCATTAATGGAACCTCCAGTGGGAGGGAGAATCCATATCCCCACCTATGGCCCCCACACATCCAGCCTCACTGCGGGGGCGGGTAGGTGCCGGCGAGGTGCACGGGCAGCCCGTCCCGGCAGGCGACCCGCACGTGGTGCTGGACCTGCCGGGCGCGGTAGGCACAGGGGGGCCGGGTGTCCCCCCCTCGCAGGCGGCAGGCTGTTATGCCCATGGCTGTCGGGGTGCTCTGGAACCCTGAGGCATCAGGCTCCCGGGAGCAGGCAGCCACCAGATCCTGGGCCGGCGCGTGCACGAAGGTGTTGGAGGGCTTGCAGGGCCTCCCCTGGGCCGTCACCTGCCGGCGTGCCAGCATGGTCTCGCAGTAGCGGTGCGCCGCGAGCGTGGGGGTCCGCGGGTAGTCCACGTGCTGCCGCAGGAACTTCTCGTAGCGGCTCTCGCCCTCCACCCCTGCCAGTGCCGCCAGCACCAGGGTCACGCATAGCACCCAGCCTGCCATGGACACCTGTGGAAAGCAGGGTTAGGGCCATCTGGACTTCTGGGCTCCCAGCTGGGAACCCCACCCTGGATGCTTGATTTCTCTACAAATTCCCCCTCCCAAACACCTGGGTCCCTTGCAAATCCCCTCTAAATGCACGGGGACCCACCGCTGGACAAATAGGCCATCTGTGTGTCTCACCTGGATGCCTGGACACCCTATAGAATATGCCACAGACACCTGAGTTATGCACTCCCCAGAAGCCTCAGTCCCCTACAGAACACCCCCTACCTGCTCCTCAGACCCCTGGGTCCCCTATGGATGGGGTCCCTGCCCCAGTGCCCAGAGCCATACACAGCCTCCCTCTCCCACTGGATGCTTGGGTTCTTCACAGCCCCCTCCCACAGACATTCCCTTACACATCCCTCACCCCCACCTGTGTGCGCGCCTCAGTTTCCCTTATGGCCTCAAGGTCTCCGGGATCCCTCCCACTCCTCTGCACATCTTTTATACTGGCCCCAGCTGGGCCCAATGGGCAAGGATCCAGGAGGAGGGGCAGAAGAGCAAAGAGCAAGGTCCAGTGGATGTCTGGGAAGAGACAGGTATCCAGGAGGCCCCACTCACCCTCTTGCCCCCCCCCTCAAGGTCATTAGGTAGTCATTAACAAACCACGTGACTGTCTGCATACATCCCCTTGGTGTCCCCTGCCCAAGTTGCCTTGGATCATGCCTCCTGGCTTGGCCACCTGTCCCATGAGAGGCAGGACACCTGGGCCTCTTTGGGTGGCAGGGCAAGATACCTAGTTCTCTGGTGGGGACAGAATGTCAGCATCACCTCAAGGGGACCTGACTGATGTTCCTGCTCCTCTTGAAACACATGGCACATCCACAGCTGTCCTGCAGTGCTTCAGGAGCTATGCATCCCTTTTCCCTGCGTCCCCTTGCAGGCAAGTTCATACCCCTGGGAAGGGCATTTTGCCTCGCTGCTACCTCATATGCTCCCAGCTACTCCACTGAGGCAGAGAACAGCAAAGAACCAGAAGCCAGTCTGAGCCTATCAAAGACCCATTCCTTTCCCTTGACCATCCTGATGGACCGCCATGGAAAGCATGTCCCGTTCAGGGGGAGAGGCTGTCACCACTGGGTGCAAGTGGTCTCCATCGTCCTCTTCAAAGACATGATAGAGACTGTGATGGGAAGTGGCAAATGGGAGAACGTGCACAGGAGCCCTCAGCTGCCCTTCTCCCACATGAGCAGCCAAGTCTGAGCCCACCAGTGATTCAAGGAGGACAAGGAGTGGGCCTCAGTCCTAGAACCACGGGTGGCTGAGAGATGCACTTTTGAGTGTGTGTCACCATCACCTGACCTACTTGTCCCCCAGGACAGCACAGAGCTGCCCCCCTGTCTGTCCCAGGCCCACCATGTCCTTCAGCCTTGGGTACACTTGGTCCTTGGCACCACCTTCCCCAAAATAGCTGTCACAGTTCCAAGACTCGCCACAATGGAAGTGCAGAGGGTCCTACCCTGGGCTCTGGTGGCATTTCTACAGCCTCTCAAGAAATCCTCCTCAAAAGTGCACAGCCCCTGCAGCAGGAACAGTTCAGGCACCAGGCCAAAACCCTGCAGACAGGGAAGGTCAGCACAGCCCCCTTGCTGACTCTCAGATGCTGACAATACCCTGCTCCTGCTGGGCATGGAAGGAGGATGGGGACTCTCATCAGAACCCTCCAGACACTCTCTGCTTTCCACTGTCCTGGTGTGGGTGGAAAAGGGATGGTGTCTGCAGGAGGAGGAGCAAGCCTGGATGTCTGGCAATGGGCTGACTCTAGCTGGCATGGCACGGGGACCTGTGCTGAAGCCTTTTCTACCCGGCAGACCCTCAGGTGTATCCTTCCCAAAGGTCGCTGTGATGTCTATTCATGAACTACAGCCTGTGGTCCATTCTTGTCCCAGGGAGTCCCGACTGCATGGCGCTGTCCTGGGCACTGCATCTCCCTCTCTCATCCCTGCCCACCATCCCAGGCTGATCGGAGCCTACTGCTGCCCTGTGGCAAGAGGAGCCATCAGCCGAGGCACTTGGGGAAGCCTAGACCAGGAACTTCTGTTTGTCCCCTCGGCGCCCCATGGCATGGGAATGTTGCCAATTTTGGGAGCTTTCTGAACACAGACACAGAGACTAGTTTAGAAAGGAGACACTGCTTATTCTGGTCAGGGTGCTAGATGAAGGTTTCCACGTATCAAGCACACCATGGGGTAAAAAGTTACGTCTTTTATACAATAAAGTTTACATGAACCGCCTACCTAATGCATATTTATTTGTATGATGTAATCTTACACAACGCTTAAAACACAAAAGCTCTTTTCTTTATTAAGCAACTTGTACTGTAGAAGTTATACAACGACACCAGTTACGTTTACAAAAAGCGAGAAGACTCAGCCTGGGGACAGATAATTCAGCTTGAAAAGGCATCAGGAAGGAAAAGTAACTGATGCGCATTAGGTAGGCAGAGAATACGTATTAGATAGGCGGGTTCAGGTAAACTTTACTGCAAAAAAGATGCAACTTTTTACCGCACGGCACCTACCTCTCGCCCGGTCAGAGCCGGCGCAGCGAGCCTGGTCTCTGTGGCTCTCTGGTCCCCGCTCTCAGGGTCGCGGTGCGGGCGCTCCGCAGGGCGCAGCTCTGCCGGGCGGGGGCGCTCACGGGCACGGCCGCGCCGAGCGCTCCCCCGCCCCCCCGCGCCGTTGGTTCCGTCCCGCCGTGGTACCGGGCCGGGGGGGGGGCACCGCCCGGCCCCTCCCGGCGACGAGGCGTCCCCGTGCTCGCAGGTCTCGCGCGAGCGCGTCTCGTATAATTCTCGCGCGAGCGCCGCGCGCCCCCCCCTTTCGCGGCGCGGGCGGGACGATGGCGGTCGGGAGAACAAGCGCCTCACCAAGGGCGGCAAGAGGGCGCCAAGAAGAAGTGTGAGGGCGGCCGGGGAGCGGGCGGCGGGTGCCCGGGGGCGCCGCGGAGCGCCGCGGCGGCGGATGCCGGCGATGCGGGCGGATGGCGGCGGCGGCCAGGCTGGAGCGGGGCCCGGGGCTGTCATGGCGGCTGCCGGCGGGCCTGGACCTAGAGAGGCGGCATGCGGGGAGGGAGGTTTTACTGAAGCTCGGCTTGGTCTGAGAAAGTCGGTTAAAAAATCTTTTTCCTTCATTCGATTTAAGGGTCGATCCTTTCTCCAAGAAGGACTGGTACGATGTCAAAGCACCGGCGATGTTTAATATCCGAAACATCGGGAAGACCCTTGTCACCAGGACCCAAGGAACTAGTGAGTAGTTGGGGTTTGTGCAGTGGAGGGGCATGTGTCTCCTCCGTGCGCTGGCTGCAAGCGGGACTCGATTAAAGAACTGCTGACAAATGGGTTTTGCTCGTATTAACATGAACCTGGAAGTTAAAGAAAAAATTGGCATCTCTGGCTCAGTTGGGTGATTTAAGTGAGTTTTCTTGACTTGGGCAAGTTGTTTGAATAAATGAGCTTAGTTGCAGGGAAGTTCATACGGTGAGGTCCTTGTTTGTACAAGAAACCAAACCATAGGAGGACAGGATAGGCCTGAAGTTTCTAATGAGCTGCTGTGGTGGTAACCTAGTAGGTTGGAGAAAAATTAAGAATTAAGGAGTCATTTTGACTGTCACAGGGGGAGATGTGGGACAGTGCCACGGGAGACCTTGGTCATAACAGGATCATAACGACCAGCATGTCAAGGGACTAAAGTTTAAAGCTTTTGGGTAAAGGTGTCTCATCTCTGTTGAGAGCTGGAATTGCTGATTTAATGTGAGTGTGTGTACGTGTAGGTGTATCACTGAATGGTAAAGTTGTTTTTATAGGATCTGGCACACCTTAGGAAAAGGAAACGTGCTAGGGATGCAGGGGGATCTGGATAGGGGTAACAGTACTTTTGGAAGCCTAGCTGTGCAGAATGGCTAAATAGTTACACTGTACTACATTTATGAAGATGATCATTACTTTGAACTGTAACATGAAAAAAGTAAAATAAGGGTCACTGTAAACCAAGTGTGAATCAGCCAGTGTTAAAATGAGGGGGAGTTGTGAAATGACTGGGGTGTTGGTTGCTGTTTAATGAAACAGCAACCAACTGCTGTGGCGTTTTTGTTTTTCATTGCTGTTCATAATTTCCAAATACTCCGGAACCTGTTCCATTTAAAACAACCCAAACTATTACATGTGGTGCAATCTGCAGCACGCTGGTGTTCGTGTCCCCCATCTGATACAGTCACCTGGAAAGATTCATCCCAGAGTTAACAAAACCCAGTATTTGGCTCTGTGAATTGGTTTGATCTGGCTCAAGACACAAATGAACTGCAGCGCTGCAAGGCCCTGGCGTTGCATCCCCAGGGGTTGGGCTCCATCTTGGAGGCCTTTCCAGCCTTAGTGATTCTGTGATCGCCACCATTAGAAAACATCCAGTGGGAATTTGGTACCTGATTTGAACAGTGCCCTTCTAATGTTAATAAAAGGTATTTTATTTTGTTCCATCACACAGAAATTGCCTCTGACGGACTAAAGGGCCGAGTGTTCGAAGTGAGTCTGGCTGACCTGCAGAATGATGAGGTTGCCTTCCGTAAATTCAAACTGATCACTGAGGACGTTCAGGGCAAAAATTGTCTGACCAACTTCCATGGAATGGACCTCACCCGGGACAAAATGTGCTCCATGGTCAAAAAATGGCAGGTGTGTAAAGAACAAGGTCTGTGTTCCTGCCGGAGCCCTTAGGAAGAGGGGGAAGCACTGGAAGCTGTGTTTGAGGTGGCAGCGGCAGGTGTTAATGATGTCGGGTTAGAGGGGTTGGGGAACCTCTCTGTCATGTGGGGGTAAATGTCTCTTTCTTTTCCAGACAATGATTGAAGCCCACGTCGACGTCAAGACCACGGACGGTTACCTGCTGCGCCTCTTCTGCGTGGGCTTCACCAAGAAGCGCAATAACCAGATCCGCAAGACCTCCTATGCCCAGCATCAGCAGGTCCGGCAGATCCGTAAAAAGATGATGGAAATCATGACCCGGGAGGTGCAGACCAATGACCTGAAGGAAGTTGTCAATAAGCTGTAAGCTCTGACTGTGTTCTCCTTTTCTCCCCTACAGTTTCAATAGTTGTTTGTTGGTTGGTTGTTGCTGAGAACTTGGAGAATGCTGGTGCTTCCTGTGCCATTTGGCAGAGACCAGGCAGGGAGCCCCTCATGTTGGAAAGCCAAAGGCCATTTTCTGCAGATGGCTTCTCTTGGTCTCTGCATCCTGTTTGTCTCGTACCCACTGTAACATTTGCATAAATGTAAAATTGTGCTCTCCAGAGGATTTGTGGTTCTGCAGACTAAAGTTGTAATTCTCATCAGCTGGGGCTGTGAGTGTTCTGGGTTCTTCTGGTATAAGAAGGTTTTCCAAAGTGTGATATTTGCTTCCAAAAGTTTGATTGGAGATTTGTTGTCAAAATGGGCACGCTTGCCCTATGCTCCTTTTAACACTGCAAGGGAAACGTCTTAGAATCTAAACGTACTTGAAGAAAAATGTCAGAG